TTTTTGTTGTCACTTCATGTTTCATGTTTAATCCTAATAAATCAAAGATATGTCAGCACCATGAATGAAAACTACCTTCAGCCCTTTTATACTGTATAGTCATTTGACCAATGGAAATACTGTGTTTCTATAGGATAACAGGTTACAACCTTGTAACTTTGGCAACAGTTGGTGGGCCAAATCAAATGGCTTGGCGGGCCAAATTTGGCCCGCGGGCCCCACTTTGGGCTCCTCTGCTCTAAGAAGTTTGATGAATACAGGCCCTGCTGTGGCAGTAGCTGAGAGTCGTCTTTAAACAAAAGACTTCAGCGGGTTTTTTTTAAATCGATTAAACAACACCCAGAATTCTCACAGCTGTTTCACCTTCCAAATATTTTTCTATTTCAGCTGGAATTTACAGATTTATGTTGAGTTAAACTGCACAGTGATTGGCTCTGTCGAGTTTATTTTATTATTTTAAAATTGACAGTTCAATAAAGAATCTTAAAGAGAGTAAACAGAGGGCGGAACACTCAAGGAACAAAAGATTCATTGCCTTTTTAAAAACACTTTTCGCAGAGGAAAAGATGAAAGTTAAAACCCGACGCGTCTGATTATGAGATTACACAAACAGAACTTCTGACGGCGGGACGTATTTTTAGATTTTTAGTTCCTGCTTTTGATTTTCCAACAAGAGTTTCAGCTCGCTCTGTGAAAATATCAAACAGCRAGTGTCTCAGCGTGACTCGGTGAGGAAAAACAAAGTGAGCGAGGTGAAGCTGTGGGAGATGAGTGCTGCAGGAACAGCAGATATCTGGACTCGTTAGGTTTCAGAGGATCTTTTTCACTGAGAGACTTGAACTAATGAAAGGTTTAAAGGTCGATGTTGCTGCTTTAACGCCCAACATTTCACTGAAATTAACTCCAACACATCAAACGAGCGTTAAAACCTGCTGGAGCGTTCTTCTAGATACGAGTTAATGAATGTCAGCCCTGATATTTATTCCTGTGAAGAGACAATTTGCTCAGAAACGGACTCACCTGAAGCTTTATTATGTGCGTACCTGTGTGGCAGAAGACTCCGGTGTGAGCAGACTCGCTGCAGTCGCAGTAGAAGCCGCTGACTCGCTCCACACAGCGGCCCCGGTTCTGACAGAGCGAGCCGTAGCTGCTGCAGTGACCGGGGCAGCCGGGCCGGACCCCGGGCGTGATCTTGGCCCTCTCCTCCAGGTCCAGGGTGACGCCGTTGAGCTGCAGGGAGCGGATGCATCCCCGGAAACCCCTCTGCCTGGACGCCGTGCCACCTGGAGGCACGGAGGGAAAAATAAAAAAGGTAAAAGTTCTGACTACAGGTACGGGCCAGACCAGGTACGGGCCAGACCAGGTATGTGCTGATTACTGGTTTCAAGGTATCAGAGTCAAAACCACTAAATTAAGTCAAAATACTGCCTTTATTTTTCCAATTACAAGGATAAGCTTTAATGCTTATTTTCTGTGTTTCTGACATTTTGTTTGTCTGGCCCCGCCCACTTACACCTGTTCCCTGTTATCATCAGGCTTGCTGTGGTTCCCTGTCTGCTTCTCATCTGTTTTTTACTTTTAAGTAGGGGTCTCTGCAACAATGGAATTTGTAAAGACTGATTGGTGTAGTTCTTTGGTGTGGGCGGAGTTAGTAAAGACTGATTGGTGTAGTTCTTTGGTGTGGGCGGAGTTTGTAAAGAGTGGTGTAGTTCTTTGGTGTGGGTTGACAGAGTTTGGAGTATAATTTAGTGGAGGTTCGTGGGTGTGGGCGAAGTTTGGAATATAGGTGGAGCATCTTAGATGGGTGGAGTTTGGTAAAACTGACTTGTTTTGAGGGCAAATTAAAAGATGCAGTAATGTTAATAGTAAAACTTAATATGTAAACAATTCATTGACTTCAAATTTTGTGCAG